GTGAATTTTGGGAATGAGGGCAACAAATGTACAGATGTGCTTTACACAATTGATCTATGTATTGTGATGACTTGTATGAGCCCCAATAAATTGATAAAAAAAAGAAATTGTATTTGCATCCCACAGTTTTCAGCCTTCTGACCAAGACCCATCTCCTGGGTCCTTGATGCCATTATTGCTCCTGGTCTCATGACAAGGGAGGGCGTGGTCTACACTAGTTCTTCATGCTCTCAGGACACCACTTCTGCTCACATTGCTCTGGCCGTTGTGTCTCCCAGGTGGGAAGCACAATTCCAAACCAAGCCTCTGGGAGGACAACTGGTATCTGGCACCTGTGTTTTTCAGAAAGTGCTCACAGTCTGGGATAGACGAGACCAGATGTCTCTGGAAGAAATCTGGCGAGGCCCTTGAGCACAGACTCATCACATCTCTGACTTGGGTCTCCTCAGCTAAGACTGGGTCCATGGAGAGGGGTGAGGCTTGATGACCCATGGATTTTACCTGTTAGCACCCTTGCTGAAAACAGCAGGAGCTCACTGTGATGGGCTCAGCGCAGAATGGATTTAGGGAAAAGATGATTGGATGGTTCACAGAAGTAACTAGAAGACTGGCCAACTAGATTCAGGAAAAGAGGGAGACAACACCTAAGGGAGGCCAGGCAGCTGAGAATATAGCCACAGCCACACAATCTGATTAGGAAGCCAGGGTTCACGCTCCTACTAGTTGCCACTGACACCTGGTTGCTGACGCATTGACCCCACTGCCGTGGGTGAATGTCTTCTATAACTGCCCGTCTGACCTTGAGAGTCACTCCTCCAAGCATTAGCATCTGATGGGCTGAGTCTGGTCACATATGGGCCTTAGAGAACAGTCTGCCTCCCACCAAACCCACACACCTAAGGCCTCTTCCAAATAACAAGAGTGTCCAATGTGGCAGGCAAAAGCAGCATATATTATCTGTTGAGATAATGAAAACATCTTTATAGATCAAGGGTTCTCAACCTTCCTAATGTTGTGACCCTTTAATACAGTTCCACATGTTGTGGTGACCCCCAACCATAAAATTATTTTCATTGCTACTTCATAACTATAATTTTGCTGCTGTTATGAATCGGGCGACTCCTGTAAAAGGGTCGTTCACCCCTCAAAGGGGTTGCGACCCACAGGTTGAACTGTTGTTATAGATGATCAATATGGAAATAGAAGATTCAAACAACACTATAAACCAAGTAGACCCTATAAATATAATAGATATCCATAAACAGAAAACACATCTTTATTCATTCTATGTGGCCAACATGACCTTGATAAGGCCAGATAAGGACATAATGAGAAAATTATAGCCAAGTACCCCTTATGAATATAGATGTGACAGTCCTCAACAAAATACTCAGAAACCAAGTTTAACAGCACATTAAAAGGTTATACTGTATGATCAAGTGGGGTTTAATTCCAGGAATTCAAAGGTAGTCCAATATATGAAAATAAGTCAGTGCAACGCACCACACTAATAGAACAACAACAAAAAACCCCACATTATCATCTCCAAAAAGCATTCCATACAACTTAACACCCTTTCACGGAGCCCTGGTGGCATAGTGGTTACTCGTTGGTCTATAATCTGCAAGGCCAGCAGTTTGAAACCACCAGCCACTCTGTGGGAGAGGACAGGGCTTTCTACTCACACAGAGAGTGACAATCTCAGAGACCCACAGGCACAGTTCTCCCCTGTCCTGCAGGGTCGTTATGAGTCGGCATTGACTCGATGGCTGTGAGTCTGGCTTTTATACTTAAATACTTAGCACAGGAAGAAGAAAGAAATTACTTCTCAACTTGAAAAAGGACTTTTGCAAAAAAATAATCACAGCTACTATCATATGTAATGGCAGAGGACTGAACGCTTGCCCGCTAAAATCAAGAGGCTGGATCCCTACTTTCATCGTTATGACTCAACAGTGGGCTGGAAAGTCTAGCCAAAGAAATGAGGCAAGAAAATAAAGAGACTCCCAATTGGAAAAGATGAAGTAAAACTACACCTATTTGTAAATGGCATGACATATAGACCTCAAATCTCAAAGAATGCATTCACATAAACTATTAGAGCTAATGGATGAATTTATTAAAGGGGAAGAACACAGGATCAATACACAAACTTCAGTTGTGCTTCTAGACTCTAGCAACTAGCCATCTGAAAAGAAAATTAAGAAAACAATTCCATTTACAATAAGATACAAAAGAACACAGATAGCTAGGAATAAATGTCAAATATTGCTTAATTACGTTAAAAAGCTAACAAAATATATCCCTCAAACTCACGGCCTTTGAGTTGTTTCTGACGCATAGCAAACTCAATAGGACAGGGTAGACCTGCCCGCCCCTGTGGGTTTTCAAAATTATAGTCTTTACAGGAGTAGAAAGCATTGTCTTTTTTTTTTTTTTAAGTTTTGAATCCTGTCAGAATAACAGTGAATGTCTAAAGTGATCTACAGATTGAATACAATTCCTCTCAAAATTTCAATGGTCTTTAAAAAAAAAGGAAGAGAGGGTTCTCAAAATCATATGAAATTACAATAGTCAAACAGAACAAAAAGAGGACAACTCATACTTCTCAATCTCAAAATCTACCACAAAGCTCTAGTAATCAAAATTGTATTGGTATAAGGACAGACATATAGACCAATACAGTAGAATAGACATTCTAGAAATAAACTACATATACATGACCAATCGATTTTTGACAAGGATGCTAAGACTATCCAATAGGAAAGAACAATCCTTTCATGAATGCTGTTGGGAACATTGGAATGAAATTGGACCTATGTGGCAGTGAGATTTTATGTCAACTTGAGTATGTATGAAACTGTAGAGGGGGCAATCCAACCTGTTCGTCAGGTTACAGCCGGATGGTACCTTCCTTACCAGGAAGAAACTGGGCAACGCCCCCTCTGTGTGTCTTTTTACGGGGACTCTGCCTGCCTCCAGGGGTGGCCCCGAGTGGGCTGCCTGACCTTGAGAGTTGCCGATGCTCTCTCATGTTTCTACTGACTTTGGAGACACTCGACCTTGCACCCACTGGCCTGTGATCTTCCTGCCTCCGGCTTCACCTGTCTGCATCAGCAGCCTGCAGCTACCTGAGCATACAATGGGAGCCAGATTGCAGCCGACTTAGAGAGGTGAGTTGCACTGAGCTGGGATGGCTTCTTGATATCAAATGACGTCTTGATACGCAGCCCTTTCCTCTGTGGAGATGAATGTCACTGGGTTTGTTTCTCTAGAGTCTAGACGACCCAGCTTAATCGAGCCTATGCGTCACAATACATAGGAAAACGAGCTCCCGATCAAGCAATGATCTGAGTATCAAAGGAAAACCGTAAAGCATAGGGGTACACTCCCCATGACCTTGGATTTTGCATAGGATTCGTGTGCATTACACAAACCCATGAGCAATAAAAAGAAAGTAAAGTGGACTCCATAAAAATTAAGAACTTCTGCACATCCGAGAATTTCCCCAAGAAAGTGAAAATATGACCTACAGAATGGGAGAAAGCTTATTTGTTAATCTTATATCGGATGCAGGTTTAATTTCCAGAGTATATCGAGAATTCTTACAACTTAACGACAAAAAGGAAAACGGCCCAGTTTTGAAAGATGACTTGAATAGATATTTCTTCAGAGAAGATACAGAAATGATCGATATTGACATGAAAAGATGGTCAACTTCATTAGTCATGAGGGAAATGGGCGTTAAAAAAATACCCTTTTACACTCACCAGGATGACTATGTTCTTATTGTATTTACAGGAAAATGACAAGCGAAGAAGGCAGCATCCTTGTGTTGTATAGCTGTGGAGGCACAGACGAGGTACAGTGGTTGTGGAAAACACTTGGGCAATTCTTCAAGGAGGTAGGCGCAGGGGCTCTGCTCTGGCAGCAGCCCCATTCCCTGCCCACCGCTCTTGCCACCATCACCCGCTGGCCACAAATTGGAATGAGCTTGTGGGGCACAAGTGGACCAGGAGCCTTGTGACATACTGTAACATGGCCATCCCAGTGCTGGGGACTCCACGACCCTCAGGCCTGAGGCCATCATGGAATAAGGACAAGGTGATGTTACAAGCCAATGACTGGTGGGAAAGAAAAACACAATAAAAGCTTCAATGGGTTGAAATTCCACCAGTTTAGTAGGAAGTGAATGAAATAAAGGATTACACTGAGGGGAAATAAAAGTGGAGAATTACCATATGATCCAGAAATCCCATTCGTACTTATAAACCCCAGAGAAATGGAAGCAGGGAATCACAGGATACTTTCTGCCCATCTTCACTGTCACCCGGTTCACAATCGTTACATGGTAGAAACAACCTCAGTATCCATCAACAGAAGAGTGGATACGCAAAAAATATTATTGAGTCAAGAGAGGGCAGGAATAAAGTTCTAAAACATGCCACAATGTGGTGGAACTTCAAACACATTATGCTGAGTGAAAAGGCCACACACCAAAGGCCAGGTATTTCCATGATTCCACTTCCAAACCAAACCAAACCAAACCAAACCAAACCAAACCAAACCAAACCAAACCAAACCAAACCAAACCAAACCAAAC